TCGAACTCGTTGCCCTTTCCCACCCCGCAGCCTCGCCGAGTCTACAAATCCGCTAGAAATCATGTCGATTTTTCTGCACGCCGAATGACACTCGACAGAGTAAATACACCCCGATGGCGGATCATTATCAATCCGTCGAACAGGAAACACGGTCGCGCGGAAAGAGCTTGCATTGCAAAGAGGTATTCGAGCGTCGATTTCTCTCCTTTTTTTTCGGGAACGAGTCTGCCCGCTAGACAATAGAAACACGATGGATCGATGAAGAAATTAATGGGCGTTCTTCTTTAAGGGGGCATTCTCGGCTCGACAGGTCACTAAGATCGATTTTCCTTAACGACATTTCCTTCAAGATCCGCCGTTTGAAAATAGATTAAGACGAAATTAAATAATATTATTTACTTTAGGGACGATTCTACGGATCAAAATAAGACTAAAATCAAGAATGACGGAATTGCGTTTGAAGCTTCGTGTCGGAGTTATTAATTATTGAAAGTAGAGTAAAAAGCGTTTGGAGCGAGGGACTTGTAGTACCGCTGACTCACGGCGGGGGCGGCGCAGTAGCCATCCACGAAACCAACATGGCGTCTCTTTCCCCCAAACTCTTTTTGAATTACTCTCATGCAGAACGTACCGTTCGAATTTTCACGAAAAAATTAGGGTACATGCTTAAAACATTGCAGAACGTTACTACATAATAATAACGTACGAAATGAAACGGAAAATTAGTAGAATAAAATAACCAAAGCGTTCAACTCCACTCGGAACACTACCACCCACGTTGAAAGATACTGCACCATGCTGTACTTGTATTTGAAACATTAAAAAATGTTAAAGTGCAGGAAACATGCTCTGCAATTTCGTATTAAAATCTGAAATTATTCGCTCTTGTAGTTTTCGTGGAAAAAAATTCCACTTGCCGGTGGGAACGAACCCTTAATGCGAAACTGTTTCGTCTCCGTTTCACTTGGCACCTCTTGCTCCTCAGTTTCTGACAACAGCTCTCCACGGTTACATCGGGTCCCGGCTATATCGCCCTGGCGATTTCTCCCTTTTGTTCTCCGTCCTCCTCATCTTCCTCCTCGTCCCTCCGTGCTGCGTGGTTTTTTTTCGGCTCTCTTGGTCTGTTTCGTTCCGACGATTTTTATTTTCCGACGCGATTCAATCTGTGCACCGTACCGTGTTGCTTATCGCGCGCTCCCGTTCGACGGGATCGAACGCGACGCCGAGTATCGGCAAACGCCACCGGTCGATGTAGCGTTTTGTGGACGGCTAACTGTCCGCGAACGACGAAACACCGATTTCTACCACCGAGGCGAATCTGCACGGCACGGGAAATTTTCGATCCTCGCGCGAATACCTCCGCGAAAAGCCTATTCAAGAATGCAACATTCGATTCACGCTCGCTTCTCAACAAGACCGACGCATTGTGTCGAGTCCGCAAAAGAAAATTTTATCAAGTTACTTTCCTCTCTCAAAAACTTATTCTTACAAATTTTTTGTCGATTCGAAACCCATTCGCGAGCGAAAAATATTTACAAATTTTTATACAATGAAGAAATTAGTATTTAAAAAGTTGCAAAGTGGAACGTAAGTTGAGTTGTGACACAGCACCCACGCTTTTAGTCTGAAATGAATAATTCAGAGTTATTTTTAATTCGTACAGTTGTCCTTGTAGGTCCACAATGGTTTGAAGAAAATGGGACAACAAAATGGCGGTGTACAACGTGAGAAACATCGATTTTTCGAGAAGCTTTTCTACTTTGATCTATTATCGTAAAAAAACTATGACAGTTATTTTTATAATCATGGATAGGTCTATAAAGGGTTGTTTACATAACATGTGTATTAATTTTCAACTGAATTGGCCAAGAAGAATGAGTTTGAAGTTCGTTTCTGTTCCACCTACGCTTCGAATTAGTTGGAAAATTATTAAAATCTTCAACTTTAAGAATATGTATGTGCAAAAATCGATGTTTCTGGTTAATTCGATTGGTGTTAGTTTTAAAAGTGCCCCATTTTTCCCCTGGCTTGCCACGATCCTGCATCGAGGAAACGTTGGATCGCAAGATGGCTCCCCACCCTCTACAGGTTGTGCCACTTTGGAAAATACTGGCTTAGATCGATATCCGACACGTACACGCGTAAGTTTGATAAGATAGGGTAAATAACAACGCAGCACGATCGCTGAAGTCGCGCAGAACTTTCGGAGCGAACAACTTGGACGGAATCGTAATCGTGCATCATGCGAAAATATCGTCGGGCGACTTATCGTGTTTTCAGTCGCACATCCAATTCGAGCTGGCGAGATATATCGCGGGTTTCGCAACAGTTCGGAAAAAAGTCGTTTATTTAAACTCCTGGCATATTATTCTCTTCAACGGGGCACGGATACTTTCGTTTCGGAACTTATTTCATTAAAGTATAAATAACAACATAGTTCAAGTTCGACTAGACATTGAATCGAGCTCGCGATAACCACAAAATTTTTAATTAAAAAGTTGCGTGGTTCGAAAAGGAAAGGAAACTGATCCTACGGCGATTAACCGTGCGTTCGGAACTTTTAAACGAAGGGCCAGTGAAATTGACGTTTCGTTCTTTTCTTTTATACCCTTTTCGAAAAATTTCCTTTCGATCCTCGTACATTCAGTGACTCGGTTAATTATAAATTTTTAAATAGGAAGGATCGCATAAAATGACATGTTTTTTTTCAATTTAAAATCTAGTTAATCGAAAACATTTTAAAGGCCACCCATTTTTCGATCCAAGATGAGGGAATCCCCTGAAAACGAGCCGAGCTACGCGACGTCTTGCCCCATTCCTCTGTGTCTGGAAACCGCGTGGCTTGCCAGCAAGCACAGTTTAAACGAGAAAGACGAGAGGGGGAGGTTAGAAAAGTAGGATTCACAGTAAAAGGGAAGTACGATCGCTAGGGAGAGCCTGAGTGGTCGCTGGAATGAGTGTCACGCGAGAAGGGGGTAGAACGCGTTGTTTATTTCCTGCACAGTTCGGTGTTATTTCCACGGTTCATTTCTACCATTGCCCTGGAACGTGATGTCGAACACTGCTATGCACTTACATTTTCCTCCATTTCTATTTCGCTGCTTTTACATAAACCTTTCGAAATTGACGCTAACCTGCGTGTAATGTGATATCTCAAAGTCGATGCCTTTCCGTGTATGTTAAACAAAATATTCACGAATCAATAACACGAACTCGAAATAGGGTGAATATACGCGAGAAAATGTGTGGAAAACGTGGAGTGTCATTTCCCCCTACGAGGCTTCATTTTCGAATAAATCGATGTTGCACTCGACTATGGGAGACTCCACTACTTTCTGTTGCGTTTTTATGCATAAATATTTCCAACATGTTGCATCGCGGGTTTCGTTTTATTTTGCAAGTAGCACGTATTTTCGTTACAATTTATAGGATGCCTGCATAATTTCTCCTACTTTATTTCCTTTCAAAATTTATGGAGCAGCACTTCCCATATTTCTCTAACCACGGAATGCTTTACATCCAACAGTACTTTCGCATTACGTTTTATTTTGTCAAGATAAAATGAAAATCGAAATACACCCGTTCATATAAACCTGTTTTCACCCTTTAACAATGTTGTACAAAGTTTTCCTTTTTCCACGAAATTTGGTGGTTCGTTACGATCGCCTCGAATGTTTATAAATGTACTGCAACGATTGTTCGCGATACTATAAACGGATGTCGGAAATAAGTTGAAAGCTCGCGCGTGACGTTGATCGCAAATGGAATGTCACGAAAAATTCGCCGTTCGCTCGATGTTTCACGCGGGCAGTGTTTTCGTTGAAAATTTTTCGCTTTCCGATCCTTTGAGGAATGCGCAGCGAAAATGTTATTCGCTCTATGCTGAAATGTTATACGTTTAAAGTATTTTGGTAGTCGAGGGTGAAATAGTTTCAGCGGCACAATCCGATGAAGGAAGAAACTTTGGTAGGGGAAATTATTAGTTGCCTCCACTCGAGCACGGAGCAACGAGTTTTCCCCGACGAAGAACTTTCTTCGACCTTGACGTTTAATGAGTGAAATATGAAAACCCCTCAGATCGTTAATTTGCATTGTAGATTTAGATATCGATTTCGGGACCAGAGGGAGAGCTTCAATCTCGCCTCGCTCCGCAAGGTCGCGAGCTTAAAGGCTTACCGTCCAGGCGGCTGAATTTTTACCTAAATTTTGCAAAATCACGCTAACCACAGGCTGTCGCCACTGAAAGATTAATCCCACAGTACTCGAGCGGCCCAAGGTCGGGCTTTCACACTTTGGGTTACGTGCAGAATATTTTAAGAAATTTGTAAATAAAATACCTGGAGGCCCACTTGAAAATTATTCGAAAAAAGGTGATGATTTTCAGTTCTCCGTGTATAAAATTACTTCTACCATATACACACAGAATATTGCAACTTATTTCTTTTCTCTCAAGAACACAATGGCAACGATACCCCGCGTATATTCTAGAATACAAATGGAAACAAAGGACAGTATTCAAACGCGCGCACCCGGATCCATACAAATAAAATTCTGTAACCAATTTTCTTTTTCCCTGTAATTCTGCGCTCCGAGCTATAAGGATTGTTCATATTTTTACCGGCAACAATGTTCGCCACCCGACGCATTCGGCAACAGCCGGGAAAATAGAAAAACGTCCCCGTGTTTGATAGGTTCAAAATTTTACAACGGTGTCGGTGTGGCCGCTACCCTGCCGCACGGAGGGTCGAATAAAAGTGGGTGGAAAAGTGTAGAAAGGTAGTAGACGAGAAAGAAGAAGCCGCCAAGGCTCGAGATAGCGACGGTAGGGGGGGGGGATAAGAGCGCGTGCTGCTGGAGAGGGATGGCGCGTTCGGTGTCCACGCAGTTTCAAGCCACCCCACGTCCGTGGGTGAATCGGCACCGGTAGAAGGGAGGGGGGAGGGGTTGAGTCGAGTTCGAAACGACAGAGGAAGGATATTACCTCCAGTAGGACGCGCGATCTCAGCCCGGTAAGATCGACGCCGCCCTCGCCCCCGATAGAAAGACGAAAACGCGGCGAAACAGCCGACGGACGAGCGCGACCACGATTCCGCAACGGGCTGAAACACCCTAACCAACGAGCACGGAGGTGTCGTAACGACCAAAGATATAAACAATCCGAAAGGAGGGAGCAGAGGTAGGGTAGAAACGCCTGAAAGACGTCGCATTGTTAACTGACGACGAGAAAAGAAGTTTCGCGCTCGAGGAAGATTGTTTTTATTTGTAAATACAAGGCAGAAATTTTTCTGTTCATTGGAAATGAATTTGATCGTTTCACGCGCGACGACCGACGGCGGTTGATTCTCGATCCAGCAAGATCCGAGACAGTCGATGTGTAACGAGATGAGAAGGAGACGAACGAAAGGGAGCGACGCGACGCGCTTCCAGGATGCTTAAGACCGAGGACTGCTGACGACACAGGACGAACCAAGGTGGGAAACAGTGCGGGAGTTTCGAGGAAAGGGCCGTACGCTCGGAAGTCTCGATTCTGAAACGAGCACACGGTCGAGTTTTATGTAGGAGGACCCAGAGCGATAGCAGCGTTCGCGATGGCGTCGTCGATGAAAGTCGAAGGTAACGTTTGACTTGATTTCGTCCGAGTAGGAACCCGCCACGGAAAATCGAGTCTCTTTCGAGCCGGACCCCCGGCCTTTGTCCGACCATGATATTGTATCGAAGTGCATTACGCGATTCGATGCATCGATGCACTCTAAACGTAGCTTTTGAAGCTTATAGCGACTTGGAATTCCGATAACAATGGAACGGGCGTCCCAGAAAATGTTACTTTTAGTTTTTGTTACACGCGTTTTAAATTCCTCGCGATACGTGTCTTTTTTACCGCGTCGAAATTGGCGAATACTCCGCAGATTTGTTTTCTTCAAGGGGTTCGTATTCAGTGACAATCGAATGTGTAGACGTTTTGTTTATAGTTGTCAAATTAATAGAAAAATTGTTAAAAGTTCGATGGGCAATGCGTAAGAGATATTACGACAAAGGCAACTGTAAAATTTCAAAGTGATCGATAGGATAGATCTCGAGATCTCCTATATGCTGTCCTGAGAATAATCTTAATGTACAGTTTTATTGTTTTTGTCTACTATTCTACGCAAAAAATAAGTCGTAAATGTAGAATGCAATTTTTTCCTAGGAGGCTTTGTTTTCGAGAAAATGGATTTCGAAACTCTTGGTGTACGCGTGAAGTAGAGTGTTACTTGAATAGCAGCGCAAGTGAAATAGTGAATAATGGTCAGACGCGCCAGCCGAATTATGCTCGATCGTACGCGTGGCCCACAGAAATTGAAATAAAATTATCTCGAAACTGAAGCATCGTACAAACAAATTTCGTTCTATGTTTTCGACTTATTTTTCCATGTAGAATTAATAAAAAAATTAATGTAATAGTAATTTTCTGGGGCACCCTAACAAAATTAATTCGTCTTTGGTGCTTATAGTACTATAAAAGAATTAAATTACCTATGAAACATTATCGAGGAAACAGAATTTGTTCGTTCCATTGGAGCAGGATATAAAATCAAAAAATTGACTTGCAAAATGGAACAATGTAGTGAAATGTTAAGCCATTCCCCAGCACAATCAGGAAAGATTACCTTACGTTGAAATTTTGAATTGCATTCGTACTTCGTTCGCCAAAAAATTCATTTTGTCAATCTCGTAGCTTAGGCGGATGTACGGTTTCAGGCTACAAATTATATGAGCATAATCATGTATAAGTCATGTATAAAGTAAACAATAAAATTCCTTTTTGCGTAGGGCAATGGAGAAAAAATTGATAAAAATTATATAATATTTTCCAAAGTGGAATAGATCGTGTTGTAGGATAGTGTAGGCTGTTCAAAGATATAAAATTTTTCACCATGATTTTTTTTCTATCTTCGGTTAGAACAAAGCTTATAGCCTGGCCCAGTTACTAGAATTACTCTGTATACATACCGCGGCACTCAGCAATCATATCGGTCTCGTTTTCAATTCTGCTTCGGAAGATATTGCAGTTCGTATCACTCGACATCTATGAAAAAGTGCTGTTGGGAACGTTCAATTATTTAAACTTTGGAAATGAAAAACCCAAGAACCAAGCAACTTAACGCAATTGCCAATAAAATAAAACGTAACTGCAGTGTATTGAAATATCATAAAAAAAAATGTTAGAGGTTTGAGTCGCGTATCATAATAATTTTTTCAAGGGACAATGATTCCATTTTCTAAGCCTCGATACGCGTTCTTGCTGGCCCAGCGACGTTCAATGGGTGGAATCGTATTTTCCGCGGCGCAATCGAATCTCATTTTTATCGTGCCGTTAAATATAGCCATCACACTTCCCGACTCATAGCGGAGTCGATCTTTTTTTCATCGCGAAGGCAAGCACGATCTACGAAGCAACAAAAATCTTTCCTCCTTTTTGCGCAGAAACTGCCTGCAGGTCGGAAATCAAAGTTTCATATCCGCTAGTCGACTATGGCGATAGAAATTCTCCCTTGTAACGCGAGAATAGCGTTCGTGTACGTGCATGAATACACACGAGAAATCCATCGATTCGAAAAGTTTTCGACGCTTCGAAAGAGTACGTACTCGTACGATAACTTTTATGCTTCCTACTTAACGATCCGAGAATCAATTTTTTTTTTATGTGCGTTAGGTGAACTAATAGAAATAGTTTACCGTAGTTTGCATTCCCCTTCCCACGGGCTGTACGTATCAACGTCAAGTTTCCAGAAATCGACACTGGTTCCATCTTATTATTTTTTTTCTGTTATATTTTCAAGCATGAACAAATATCCTCGTGCCTCTATTTATTTATTAGAGCTTCAGAGCACACAGGGATGAACAATAGAGCCTTGTAAAATTGGATTGGACAGAAATAGTAGGAGTTTTGAATTTTATATCGATAATAATATGGGGTGGTATTGTTATTGGTCAAAATTCGATTCATTCTCCCCAGTCTTTTTGCATTTTTCAAGAGTTTTGTAAAAGTGTGTGCGTAGCATTAGAATTTAAAGCGAAGGCTGTGTCAATAATGGTTGGAAATAACGAATCGAAATTTTTGTAGAAATTTTGTCTGCTAAATCGGAGAGGGAGACCGTGAAATCTACAAGTGAAAAACACTTTACGCGTCGATCCAACGTTTGGCTAGGATTACAGGATTCGGCGGGCAAATATTTGTCTTGCAAATCGGCTCGTTGCTGATTCAAATTCAATTCATAAGTTCCAACTCGTCTCGTTTCGCCGACTCGCGAACTTGCATGTTTCAGAATACTTATAAGTGTTGGTACACGGTGTCAAAATCGCTCGAAAATCAACACGACTATCCACGAAGGAACAAAGGTCCTTCGTCTAGACAGCCAACCCCGTAGAATTCCGAAACGGGAGCAATACCTTGTACCCAGTGTTACCAATTCAATACGTCCAAAGCTAGTGACATAATTTCATTTATCTAATAATACTAGTATAATCCCTCAAGCATGGCAAATAGAGGTTTGCACCGAGGCATTGTCTTAGACAAATTAGAACTTTCGAACGGAATTACTTTGTCATAGATGAAATAAAGTTAAACTGTCTGTGGATTACTTAGATTTTAAATCTTAGATTAGAGTTTTATTCTACGTGGGATTCACAGCACAGATGTTAATTGATGAAAGAACATCGTAGCCTGCTTTATAGCTAGTGTTTGTGCAAATTATGTAGCCCACACTTTCCGCTGGAACAAAAGGATCAATTATTGAAAATTTCAGTTGGATTGTGAAGTTGATCGAAAATGTTCGCGTTGAAGGTAAATATAGATAAGAGTCAATGAATAAATTATAATGCTTGGAAGACCTTTTCACTCTAGGATTAATTTGACAAAGGAAGGTTTTATATTTATGAAAATAAAAAAAGGTCGCTCCATATTTTTTTCGCGGCAGTCTATGAATAGATAAAAGCGAACGAATGAGCATTGTTTTGGGCAAACAAAAAGAGCATATGTGTATGCGTTCTCCGGGCAATTAACTCGACACGTACGTAACAACAGATACTTTATCGCGCGTATCGTTTCGTGTCACGGCGACGACGATGTTTTCAAAGGAATCTGCATGGCTCGTGCATAAATTAGTTGTTTTCGCGGCGAAAGACAGCCCTCGATCGAGCTCTTCATCGATCCATTTCCGTGCGCGCGAAATGTCAACTGTAATAATGGGATTTACAAGAAACATCCGCTAACTGTCCCCCATTTTGTAGATTTATAAGTCAGCCAAATCGTAAAATAATTGTACATCTGTCACGTGGTAGAAAAATACAAAATGAAGGGGACAAAATTTCACCCCTTAATGCTATTTTAAAATCTGTTGTAGACAAAGAAATAGTAATGTTGTCATTGTTCCTATTAAAGTTTTATAGCGATTTCTTTTTTACTATTATTGATAAGTGTCTCGATAAGAAAAGGGATGCTCAAAATATATTCTCCTCGAATAACAAAACGTTCGAACAGTAGAACCATCGAATGGCTGAACATTCTGATAAGAAGTTCGTGTAACGGAGGTTCTATCTTGCAGTTTCGAAGATAGTATCGGAATACCGTAACCGCGGAGGGTTATTTCATCCCTTAAATTCGAGTTACCATCGCTAAAAATAGATACGCATCCCCTATTTTTGGCATGCATAATTTCGTCAAAATTGGGAAGGGACGCTGCACGGATGTTCCTGAAAAGACATATTTTCATACTATCGGTATCTACGTGTTTGATATTACCTTTGGGGTTAGGTTCTACAACGTTTCTTTAATAAAATTACTTGTATACCCTCGCCCTAACAGTTATAAAATTTAAAGAAAATCATATTTGTCATTTCACATTACATGCACTTGTATAAATAAAAAAAGGGGTTCAAAGAAATACTTTGATCTTTCCAATATAATATAAATTGGTATTCATCTTTGTCAAAATAGAATTGGCCCAGCCTTGGATGGGCCCTGTCGCTGCCGGTTGGTTCTGGTTTGGCAAACGTTTCCGTTCTTGTTCGGGGGTTTCACTATCAATTTCGCGGCGATTCGCTCGCGGCATTACATACCCCTTGTAAACCACCATTTTGGAGCGAATCGCGGCCCTCCGGCCTTCTGGGTAATCAATAACCGTGACGCTCGTAATATTCTCATTTTCCCTAATCTGCCCCCGCTTTTCTCCTCTTGTTTCTCTTTTTTTTCCTTTTTTCATATTTGTGGTCTTGCTCGTCGAAAGGAAAAACCGGCAGCAGCAGATGTTGCGCGTTTCTGATCACGATGGAGCCCCCGATGGTCAATTTGTGCGGCTTTCGTTCGTCGAACGTGCAACATTGATCAGCGGTGGAAATTGTTTTGATTAAATAGAATAAAAGTTAAAACCCGCACGTGGAATTATTGTACCGAAGGGCTTTCGCGCATTGAATTGGAAGTTCGGTTAATCGATTTTCCCGGGTAATCCGACTTCGTTTTGAACCAAAGGAAAACTATTTATTATATGATATTCTACGAAGGGAACGAGATATAGATTATAATAATAATTTAAAGGGAGCACTTCTTCCTCCTTCCATTCTACAATATTTTTCGA